AACAACACAAACTGACAATTTTAGTTCAGTAAAGGTATGTAGCTCAAGTGAAGCCAAGCCTCCCATGACATGATGAAAACAACAGTAACAAAAAAACGTTTAAGTCCAAAGATGTGATTTAGTGAAGCCTAGCGTCCTGGGAAACAGCTACAACACGCCTGCCCATAAGTGAAATCCAACACCCTTTACTTTACTAACAATAAGTTATATAAACAAGAATGAACCCCTACATGCAGATTTTACCAATAAAGAAATGAGCTACAAGAACCAAAATGGCTTTTTTAGCCCATGCTGTAAACTTCATTTAAATGTATGCATTTATTTAGAGATAGCATCGCCATTAGCTTGTGTAAATGTTAATTGGGATCCTAAAATACAACAACAATAATAAAACAAATTGTAAATGTATCTCGTAGGGTTATGCAAGAGTTATGTTTCATGTTTCAAGCCGATTCTGTCGGCGTTGCTCACTTACATAATGAAGTCAGGGCTAACCAAAGTTATTACAGATCAAGCAAAGACAAAAGGAACGTCTTAATCAAAATGCATGACAATAAAATGTGACTGCGGTGCCAAATGAAACCTCAGGAGTTAAAAAGCATCATTTGGTGTACACACTTTCCATCCAGTAGATGTTGATATATTTAAATCAGGTTCAAAGTGTAAAGCCTTAAGCCTTCTACACATTTGCCATTATTGTGAAAAATTCCCAGAGGCATTGGAGTTACACTAACAACCACTTCATTGTGCAGTTGCTCTGCGGAAGCTCTTTATGGTTTAGTGAATTATATTGTTGTCACTACAAGCTTTGCTCTTAACTCACTCTGCCTCAAAGCCTGTTTGTCTTTCTGCTGGAGCTGCAGTGTGTCGTCTCATTATCACATCCACATCAAGCTACCCTACGCTAGTCTTGTAAACGAGGAGATGCTTTATTTCACATGTTTAATTAGTCATAGTTCATAAAAGGGCAATTAGATACAAAAACAAGGGAGTTAGACACAACATTTAACAGTGTAAAGGATTAGGATCTTTAGTAATAAAAGGGAAATTTGCTTTTAAGGTTGAACTCCCATAACTTTTTGGGTAAGAGAGCTTGAGCCAGTGTGCTATTAGCTCAGCCTAGCATAAGTCTTGAGGGGGAAACAGCTAAAATATGACTGCCAGCATCCTTAAGTAACACGTATTAAAACTATACGTATGTAATTTGTTTGATCCATAACAACAAAGAATGTAATTTTGGGGGTTTTACATGGAGTTAGATTTTGTACAGATTCCATTTTGTTTTTGCTAGGCTAAGCTAAGGCCTCATGTCCACCCAGCTTCTTTTTCCAAGCACTCCACCTTTTTTGTGCGGCCGCTCCAAGCGCTCAAGATGAAAATCTTTAAACTTATCAGAAAGGAGCTGTTGATAAGCTGGTGCTCTTTTCCACATGTATGCTTCTTACAGCCTACGGATCGTGTCTTGTACCCCTCTTTGCTACGTGTTGATCGGAAAAATAAATAAATAGAAAACATGCAGTAAAAAGCAATATAGCGTTGTCGATCATACAGCGGCCGTTTTCAACAAACTGTTGTCATAGAGACAGGACGGGCGTGCAGCGCATTCCTTCTCAGCGCACAAACGCTTAATGCGAACACTTCTTAGCATAGAGCCAGCGCGTTTCTGCACGGGAAAAAACGCTAGGTGGACACGGGGCCTAATGGGTGTCCAGCATGAGCTCCATATTTATCACACAGGATATCAGCATTATTATCAATAACCTCAGGAAATAAAAGCAAATAAGTATAGCTCACTAAATAGCCTGCCAATTCAATCTATATCCTTTTATGCAATTTCAATTTTTTAAAGAAAAAAAACTAAAATTTATAGCATTTTTAGCAGCAATAATTAGCTTGTTGCCCTTATACCATTAACCTGATATAGATTACAGTTACATTGGTGGTCCTTTCTAATATCTTTTTTACATTACTATTTTTTGATGAGAAATAACAAATATAAAAACAAGTAACAGATGCCGCCAATTAATTTTAATTGTATACATTTGTTTATAAAAGCAGAGGACAGAAGCACGAGACAGCCTTCTGTCGTATAGAAGAAACACTGTCGGTTGTTAATGGAGAGTTATGTGGTTGACACTAATCGCTGCTTCGACCCTCCCATCTGGAGACGACAGAAACGACCATTGATTTCCTCTCAGTCTCGCAATAAATCTTCAGCAGAGAGGAGCACTTCAGCAGCATCGCAGCCTAAAACAGATCAGTCCAGAAAACAAAACATGCAGTAAGAATGACTGAGTGTTTCCTAATAGACCAATCTGACTGTTTTAATACAGTACTCCAGGTAGATGAGGCGGATAGCTGGGCTCTGCTGCACCACCAATTGTTTTTCTTTCTTTAGATTTTATGCTAATGTATCAGGGAACCATTGCTCCCAGCCGCAGGGAGGGCTAGTTGTAACTTGTGACAGGGCTAATCTCTGCGGACGGACCGGAGCGCGGCCCAATCAGCTGGGCAGCGGGCAGAAAATGAGAACACCAAACAGAGCAGCTCCCTCAGCTCCTCCTGCCGTCAAATGGAGCTCCTGTGTGTTAAAGCTGTGTGAGCGCAGCTTTTAATGGGAGCGTTAGCAGCACCTGCAGCACAGATGCAGAGTCACTCTGCTTCTGTTGTGCTGTGTGATGCTGAGTGAGGCCTCGGGCAGAGACATTTTAACCACACAATTCAACATGTTATTGATTCTCTTCAGGCTTAGACCACAGGCTGAGGTATTGATTAACCTGCTTATTATTCTGGATTCATTCCCAATCATTTAGCCCTAAAAAGGTCTGGAAAACAGTTTAAAATAGCCATCATGATTTCTTACAAAGTAAAGCCGATTCCACCAGATTTTTGAGTTTTACGTCTGGTTTTGAATTCTCCAGTTTTGCAGTGTACACTGAGGCACGATCAGTTGCTCCAGACTGGCCAGATGATTTGACCCTGATGATGTTTTTAGGGATGTGCCGCTTCACACACTTGCACAGTGAGACAGAGCCATGAGCCGATTCCCTAATTCCAGGACTTTTTTTTCTGATTGTGCCTTCACAAACCAACAGACAGCGTCTGAAATCACCATGGCAACAGCATGCATGCCTGTTTAATCCATCTTCCCCCTCCACCCTCCATCATTAAAAAAATGTTGGCAGGAAATATCTGTGGAGCTTATCAGCTCTATCAGTGTAACTGAGTATCTGTGTGTGAGAGAGAGTGAGAGCGCTTTTGCAGGTGTGTGTATATGAGACAACTATAATATATATGGATCTATGGACAATCCTAAATGCTCCGTCCTGATTTATCTCACACAGTGTGAGTTCTCATGTCGCTCCTGACAATCAGGTTGTTCAGTGTGAGCACATAAATCGGGAGCCTTGATCAAGCCCCCAGTTGTAAAGAAAAATACCTAGAAGATGATCTGCAATGTTTATATGGTCCCCTGCTCAGCTCTGTTAATATATTCTAACGTGCTCGCTCCCCTAGAGGAAACGCCCACCCAACACCTGCATGTCCAAAGGCTTCAGCAAAAAAAGCGCTTCACACAGCACAGGTGTAGATAATGGATTACATGAAGTGAAAAAAAAAAAAAAATTAAAAGTGGATCCTCTTTGGGCACATTTAATGAAGATCAATGTTTTACCAAAAGACCAAAAAAACTGTGACATGGATCTTCTTACTGCTCTTAAAGAGGAGCTGCTCAACTGTATTGTCAAGGGAAAGATGAAGCCAATGCAAGCTGGTACCTGCTAATTAAGAGTCGGAAAGTGTGCCAAGCTTTGAATCAAAAACATTCATCTTTTTCACTGTCAGAATCCTGCAGGTTTGCATGAGTAGCTGCTCTCTTCACTGCCACCCTTTCGTGTGGGCTGGGTGCATATATAGCTCAGAAACTGCCTGAGCTGCATCATGGCTGCCACAGGGACGAGCCATCACACATGCAAAGTTTACAATGCATCACTTACAAACACACAATATACTAAATCCGTGCTTTATCTAATTTCAGGCAGCCTAATTATTTTACTCATCATGCTTCTTAAAATAAGAGAAACTAACAATATCAAATATCCTTCCTCTTTGGGCAAAGTCATTGAAGCTCCACTGACAGAAACCACCGCAAAGCAAGACCACAGAGGAAAAGCAGGGAGAAAAAAAAAAAACTGCTCATCACTCTTTCTCCATCATATTCTCCCCGCTGGGTTTCTACAAGGTCATGTTGGCGCACGACGCAGGACCGGATACCCAGCTGCACGGATGCTACTGAGCTTTGCTTGATGTTGCACAAATTGAATGCAATACATAGAAAGGGACAACTCTTTTAATCTAAGAATAAGTGCAGTAAGGGAGAGATGTACCCATTTATGACCGTGTGCGTTGAAGAGAGAAAACGCGGAATATGGTGAGCAAGGGCATCGGTGCCAGAATCGATCACGAAACCAGAATCGAAAAACTGGATCGAAGGTGTGAAGCTGCACATATGTGCTGTTAAAAGACATGAAAACACAACACTCGTAACCTCTTAGCCTTTCCTCCTTCTCTGCTTCCTCTTACTCAGGGTGAATCCTCTGCGCTTTGATGGATGATGGTTGTCTTTTAACGCACAAGACCTCCCAACAAGACCAGGACCGACGGCGCACATTTGGCCAAAAAATCCGCAGTCAGCCACGTTACAATCTTATTTCACTGCAACATTTCTAACAAATTGTGAACATTTTTCCCCCATCAGAGGTCGACTTGTTTCTTGGTTCCCCTCGGGTGCGGGTTTGGGGGTCATCGCGTTACGCAGCAGAGGCCCGTTAACTCGATTTTAGTGCTAAATAAATGTCGAGTTGTATCTTCTAGACGTGCAAATCTGGCTTTTATCGTCATTTCGGATGCACGACAGCAGCACAGGAAATTGGCTGAATTACCGCATTTCAGGAAGATTAGGGTTAAAATGCGCATCCACAGAGGAGTCATCATTTTCTTACCTTTTAGTGGGAAGGTCGGAGCTTTGTAAGGTGACCGGAGTTGGGATTTTTCTGTGCAGGGAGTCACCCCGAGTACCTGAAGCAAAATTGTCCTGTGTGTCCCTGTGATGTACACTGACGTAGAAGCACAGAGCTGCTCCCTCCCTCCTCCGCCCCCTTCACTTACTACACAACATCCCTCTTGGATGGAGACACCGCCCCCTCCTCCACCTCCTCCTTTGCTCCCATCCCTCCTCCAGCAGACACCATTCCTCTCACAGGGATGAGGGGGGTTTGCAAGGTTGCATGAAAACACAAGATGAAGGTGGTATTTTTCTGACTGCTAATTATTTCAACAATTTGAGGGCCTAAAAATCGAATTTGCGTCACACTTTCTAAGGGATGATGCACTGAATCAGGTGTGTGGGGGGGGGGGGAGAGACGCACCGTCCATGCATGCTCATGCTCGCTGTGCTTCATACTGTGATTTGCTCCATATGCACCCAATGGCTGGTGCAACGAAGTGTGCAAGACGAGCCTCTCCCTGCACGTGCTTTGGCTCGTGCCTATAATTGGCCATGTTAGAATAGAAGAAGAAAGAAAAAAAGAAAAATCAAGGATGCCCCTGGTGGAAAAAAACTGAAATCCTATTAATGATACAAATGTCACTGCAGTGTTAATGAACATAGAAATCATTAATATGAGAGCCACAGGTCAGCAGGAAGAACCAAACATTAACAGAGTTGTTTGAGGTTATTTTCTATTCCAAGATGAATTCTATACATATGTTAATTTAATGTTCCTCACAAGAAATACTTGATATATCCAATCATGTGCGTTAGACTGATGTATTGAGGCCTTCATGAGAGTCATCATGCTAAACCTAAACCCTTATTTAACAGTCATTAACCAAGTCTTTCGCTGTTATTCCTTCCCTTTCCCTTTTTACTCTTTCCTTTTTGTCCTTCTCCCTATTCTGCTTTTTTTTTCACTCCATCATTTTTAAAATGTCTATCAATAAATCATCTGTTCCTTTGTTGTTTTACAGGAAACACTGAGCAGACAATCCAAAGCTTTCATTTAATACTTTGGTAGTAAGCGACCGGATAAAGTCCAATATTTCCTTTTTTTAAAGCTCTGTTAATGCTCACATCAATAAAGGATATCCAGTACCTGCTTAATGTTCCACTATCTTCACCGCAAGCTGCTGAACTACATTACTGTACGTATGAAAAGAGCTTATTACTTCTGCTGAAAACAGAATTGCAACCAATTCTACCACCAAATATATAAAGAAAACTGGCATACAGCTTTATGTTTTCCATCTTTTCTTCATTTAATCCTTATATTTATCAGTTCTGTCAGTGTCACTCATTTCCGCCCTCCTCTCCCAGTAAAAGCAGGTAACGAGCAGCCGTGTTGTGATGAATTAGGTCGAGCAGGGAGCAAGAAAATGGAGCTTTTTTAAATCAGTAATGTAGTTGTGTTGTGTTGGCTTGTTTTGTTATATTACCGAAGAACAAGCATGACAGTTACATTACATAGCATTAAGTGGAAGTTAAACACGTTTCCTTCTTATCTTCAACTTTTCCTCCTCACATTTGCCTAGACTGAATATTAATATTTCAGAAATAAAATCATTGGAGGAGTGGTGATTTAAAAATGATAAAAGTTATATAATATGGTGTTGCTTTATTGCCTGATGAAAAGAAAACATAAACTGGATCACTCTAAGAAAATGAACGGAAACCGTTCAAGCAAATCAGTGAGCGGTTGTTTAAAAACCCACTCAGTGAAGATTTCCATTCATGCCTTTTGGAAATAAACATAAAAGCCTGGCTCTTTCTTCTGAAATCACCGTCTCTGATTGGTCTCAAACGGTCTGACCTCATTCATTCACCCTCTGTCCCTTCAGCCGTTCAGACTCTCAGTCAGACCCTCACTGACGCTGCAGCTGTCGTCAGATTATCATCATGATCAGACGAGTTCTTTCACCTCCCTCCAGGCTTTCAGCTGCTTTTGTCTGATCGGGTCATCTATTGATCAGCTGGACTCACAGGCGGCTATCTGCAAACAGCAGAGCCTCCGCCCGTCTGTCTGACTGTAATCAACGATCCAACAGCTGATGGAGCGACAATGAGAGACATTCACAGCTGTGGAAAGTTTTACTTCCTGTATGTTTTATTATTAAGTATTAACCACTGGACACCTAAACTAGGAGTTCACCAGCATACTGTTGTACTGTACTTGACTTCTCTAGTCCTTTACTGGACAATCTGCCTCTGTTCACCAAATATGTCATTGGGCTCAGGGACTGCTTTGAGTTTGGTATAATTGTTTTGTATTTATTTGGAAGCTGTGTTAAGGTAATTACAGATTCCCTGAGAATCACTTTCTCATTCTGCCTTGTACACCGTTGCATTGATTTGTAGTGGACTGTAGACATACCAGAGACCAGAGTGCACCGAGACAGAGACATGACCAAGACAGTGACTTATGTGGGGTGGTGGTCTTTTAGTTGCTCAATTACGTCTAAAGAAAATCTGTTCTTCACGATGTTGTGATGCATGGAGAAAACAAATAAAAGCTCCTCTCTCAATACTCCTTCCCCAACACTCTGTACTCTGTGATGAGTTCAAGTCCATGTATGTTTCAAGTGGAGGTGCTGCCTGCAGTGTGGTCGACACTAACCACAGGATTGACCGACCTTTGATCTGACCACAATGATTTTTACTGCTATCAAAATATGTTCAACTGTCCTCCCCTCCATGAACCTGAGGAGAAACTCATGAGATTTCTCCACAGTGCAGTTCACCTGACTCCGCCTCCCTGTCGTCGGTAGGTGATGGATCTGATTGTCAATTAACACATGTTGGACCCCCGGTTGACAGATTTCAGTTTTGCTGTGTGTAAAGAAGACACACAGACAGACAACTGTATAGGAGCAGAAACAACCTTGTGACGCGTTCAAGTCCCTGCAGTGCATTTAACACCATACTAGCCTCTGCTGTTGGTAGACGAGCTCATTGGCATGCAGGTGAACACTCCACTTGTTTCCTGGATAACACATTACCTGACCAGCAGGCCAAGAAGAGAGGGAGGTCCACATCCTGCTGGACATTAGCAAGATGAGGGGGGTGATTGTGTTCTCCTCGAAACCTTGTATCTATCCAGGCGGAGGGAGGATGTTGAGGTGGTTTACGCCTATAAATAACCTGGACTGCTGATCGACCAAAGGCTAGTGTGGGCTGGGAACAGCGGGGCCCTCCAGAGCCGGCTCTAAATCCTGCAGAGACTCAAAGGTCATCCATGAATTGAATCAGGAAGGAGAGCGGGGGAAATGTGCTTCATTTTAAATCAAACTTAAATCTCCTGTGAAGAACTGAAACATTTACAGATTAAATCAGCAAATACATAAAATGTACCACAGGGGGCGTCACATTTGCAGAAATCAAAAGTACCTTACAGAAGCTCTAAGGCTGAGCATATCTTTTATTTCTTCTGCTACTCTTTGTAATCAAAGCAGCCATTTTCCTCTGATGTAACATTTAACATTCAAAGTTCGGTTTGTCTCAGGAGACATGACAAAGAAAACAACGCAGCTGTGGTGGAAGAAGAATTAGAGTCCGACGATATGCTGAGAATTTTTGCCTTTATAACAACTCTTTGTGTAGGGGGTCACATTCACAATTGGTCGCAGGATTTAAACGTCACCACTCCCAAGATAATACAAAAACAAAGATTGTACAGTGAGGAGTTGTTATGTGGTTTGAAACAGCCTGAGATACATACCCATGCTCTGCAGATCAAGTACAAAAATATATAAAGATAGTTAAACATTTGTACTGCAGGTTCAAAGTCAAGCGAAAGCAGTGGTTCTCAACTGCTAGGTCGGGACCCAAAAGAGGGTCTTGGAGCAGTTTGTTATTGGGTCGTTAATATGTGCCAGGAAAAAGAAGTCTCTGTAGCGCCTTTTAACCATGTTTGTTTTGTTCCATTTCTTTGTTATGTCACATGTTTTGTACCATCTGAAGCCCAAAACGCAGATTCTTTGTTTAATAAACCGGATTGATTGAAATATATCAGTCATTTGGGTCGTGATGTTTCATAACGGAGATGGTGGTGGGACCTGAAGCTAGAAAAATATTGACATTTGGCAAGTTTCCGGGTTAGTGACAGGATTGAGATTTAAATTGAGGGATTCCTAGGTAGAAAGTACGTCCACAAGTAAAGGACAGATAAGCAAAGTAATAGGACACACAGCTACGTCCAAAGGCAATGCCAAAATACTGACAGCTTCAAAGAATAAATTGTTTGTTTGTTGTGAATTAGTATAAAATGATAAATGAATTCGGGCCAAAGAGAAACGGTCATTTATCATGTCTGCATCCGCCTCAAAAATCAGCATCAATCGTACTCCAGAATCAACCAATACATCAGGATTTCATGTGTTACTGGCATCGATGAATCCATCACCATGAATATTTCAAACTACACAAAGAGCTGAAGAAAGACGTGAAGAAAGAGGAGGAAAGATATAGGCGCGACCTCTCCATCCTCTGTCCTGCACAGGAACCTGTTTGTAATCTGACAGATGAACACAGCTGATTGTTTCCCTGCAGCGTCCAAGCAGCTGACCCGACTGAAGTCCTCAAAACCACATCCTCTACATCTCTACAAACCAACATGCACCTTCAGAAACACACAGCAAGCTCTTCAGTCTGTGTGTGTTTATCTGCAGCTGTCTGATTATTTTGTGTCCTCTTTACCTGCATTAACAACAAAGCATGAGGTCACACCTGACTGGAACACAAAAACATTTACAAACAGGATCACATTTCCTGAATGCAGTAAGGGCCAATTAAATGATTTGTCTCCGCCCGCTCTTATCTGCTGTTATAAATGCGGTAATAAAACCACAGAAGGCTTTGTATGAAAGTGCACGGGACAATTAGGACCGTCTATATAACCAGGATGTGACACAGCTCGTTAACCTCCAAGTCAATACAGCTCCAGACTAACAGCATGTTTCCTCTGAGAGCTTACCGTAGCTCACTTAATGTCATTTAGCTGCTCTTGTAGTAAAATAAACAAGTCACTAACTTGAGGAGTGTCATCCATTGGTCAGATTTCTTGATCTGTTGGATGTGTTGGCGGGT